GACGAATGGGGAAAGATGGGAACTTTCAAGTTGACGATTTTGGATCAGTAGTGCGTAATACCACCACGATTTGTCGAACATTCATTTACTCGACGAGGCATATTGTGTATGAGTCTGGCCGAGTTCAGACAACGTGGTCGGCGGTCTGTGACGTAGTAGTACACGTCTCCCTATCCTATCCCAGGACGTGTTCATTGGGAGAAAGGTCTGGGCTCTTTGTTGGCCATTGCACGCTATAAATGTTGTGCTGTTAGAGGTGAACATTGACGATTCGTGCACGGTGGGCACGGGCTTTGGCGTCCTGAAAGACAAACCTTCGAACCACACGCCTTACACACGGGACAACAAAGGGTGTCAGTATGTTGTCCCGATAGCACTGTCCAGTGACCCTTCCTTGCACAATATGGAGTGTGGCTGGCTCTGTCACAGTGATGCCACCCCATCCCACCCCACATCATAACCAATCAACCACCAAATCTGTCATGAGGTTGACACTGGTTCGAGGTCGCCAGACACGTCCACGCCTATCACGGAAGTGCAAAGTGAACCGGCACTCATCAAAAGTCATGGCACAACACGTGACCGTCGAGCATTGAAATGAGCTGCATGTAAACGATTTCCGATCGTCTGATCCGTAACTCTTACTTCAGTGGCGTGATGAAAGTTTGCAGCAATTTGATTCGCCGTTTCAGCTCGATTTCGTAGATTTTCGGATCAATCGAACCTTTACTCTTGTCGTTGACCACATGGGACGCCCTGAACGGGGTCGATCATCAACATTTGGGCTTGTTGGACGTCACGGACTGTGAAACATTGAACGTCTTGGCCACTGCAACTGACTTCTGCCATTTTTCAGCATGCTAATAGCCCGTAGACGCTCCACCTTGCAGACGCGGCATCGCAAGTTCATACACAAACAATGATTGAAATGAAATAAATCACAAATCTATGATAAGCAGAATCAACAAGAGTGATAGAAATAATGGTCCACAGAGATTAATCGACCTCCCCTGAAAGTGTAAAATGAAGGAATCAGGAATTCGACTTTCGCACGTATGTGGCGTTATGGCGTGAGGCACGTGCAAACTATAGGATGTGTTTTGGTGTTAAGTTTTACAAGCATAAACGTTCTTACATTGGATCTTTGTCGTCAACACTTATCTTTGTTCTACTAATTGGTATTTACATTTGTATTTCATGATCCCCTTAATTTGAAGCGTATATTTTTAAACGGCCCTGCTAAATTGCGTTTGTTCTTTTCCGTTCGAAGGCGTACACCGATAAAAAAAATGTCAAGTGCATTCTACAAACTTAATTAGTAACAGCAGCGATAGGGTTAGTAAACATCGAATTTACTATCCTTCCTCGCAGATTACGCACGGCAGCGGTGGAGAGAAAATATATGAACATTTCAGTGTCGGATCCAAAACCTAAATGACATTGCTCACTTCGGTCTTGGTCAGTATGACGTTCGCCATTTTGTGTCAACAAGGAGAGGATTATGAGACGAAGTTTTAGCTGTATACTGTCAAACGCCGTTGTGTCGAAGTTGAAGCGACCTACGTAAAAACTTCGAGTTATCCGAGGTTCGACACAACCGAAATGATGAATAAAGAATGAATACGCAGGGACCAAGCTTTCACCTTGAGACAACCATAAGTTCGACACATCAAAGTTCGACACAACGGTGTTTGACTGTATTGGCATTATAACCCCGTTAATGCCCTTTTTCTTGACTGACTAAATTATGAACTTTATAGCATGTAATCAATAAAGAAAGGAGGTCAGTTAAAATTACTGGTGTAAAACAAGACTTGTATTTTTTATATACCTGTCAATTACTTTTTGTAGAATTGTTTAACTAAACTTAAAATGCCACTGCACATCATTAAATGTTATCTTTTGCCTGTATTGTTTTCGCCATTTGTTATTTACTTATCTTTTTGCAAATAGTATTCAGCAGCTGCCAATAGGGAGCGCAGAATGACAGAAAAAATGATCATTGATTAAAGTGTACTTAAACCTTCTACAAATTTTGTAAATATACTACAGCATTTAGCAAAAGAAGATGAGTAAATATCACTTATTAAATTGGTATAATTCACAACTTAAGCCAGCAATCTCCACTAACTGATTAGCATATCGTACTAATTTACGATAGGCCACCTACTAGTCTCATTAGCAAATATTTACTAACTGGTTAGTAAAGAAGCGAGATTCACTGAATTAGTAAACTTTTCTAACTATTTCTGTCAGTATATATCTTAACCATTACAGATTTATCTGAAGTATTTAGCGTTGCAGCTTTGTCACTGTGTCGCACAATGGCAACATGGACTTTATCTGATTTAATCAGTGCACAACAGTGACTGTTGATATAATGTGCATTATCTTTTGTCGCGACATATGGTGATATGTTATCTTGTCGTGGCGTTATCAGTGCTGTCTAAGACTTCCTGGTTCTGTCGGACGGGAGACGGTGGGATAGCCTAGTGGTTAAAATGTCACACGTTCCATCCCAGACATCTGAACAATGTGCTAATCTCATTTCTAGTGACCCCGCCGTGATATTGTTGGAATATTGCTAAAAGTGGCGTACAAAAATACTCACTCTATCGGACGGCCTCCGTGGTCTAGGGGATAGAGCGTCTGCCTGGAAAGCCTGGTTCGATTCCCGGCCGCGTCATACCAAACGATCTTAAAAGATTGTACTTGTTATTACATTTAGATGCTAAAACAAGGACTGGTCAGCTAGGAGGCAGTCTCCTGTGACTGAGTTGGTATTCATGTTAAACTCGGCATTAGCCCGGACTAGTACAAGCAGCCACGCACAAACACGTCGCTACATATATAGGTTATATACATAGAAAAAGTCCAAGGTGAAGGTCAGCTACCATCAATAACGCGTATGTCCCCCGTTGGAGTCGACAGCGGCCTGACATCTCCATGGAAGAGACGACTATGCGAATCACATCCTGGGCAATGTAGCCCACTCGGACTGCAACACAAAAGCCAACTGCTGCAACATCTGTGGTTGTGGTTGACGTCGACGTACGTAGCCGTCTATCCAATTCATCCGAGAGGTGGCCTATCTGGTTCAAATCCGGGGATCTGGAGGGCCAGGGGAGAACATCAACGTCGTTGTTGTGTAGACAGGCTCTTGTGATCTGTGCTGTATGAGGTCGAGCGTTGTCCTGTTTGAATACACCTGCTGCAATTTGGAGGACGTGTGGTTGGAGAATTTCCTTGATGTATCGTAAGATTGCACTGGATTGCACTGGATATGGACTAAACTTGTCCTGCCATGATAAGAGATAGCTGCCAATATCATAAATCTACCCCCAACTAAACCTCTCCACTTCCTGTCCGCAGTTTCCGGCGTAACGTTCTCCCCGACGTCTGTAGACCCGTTCCCTTCCATCCCCTCGACGGAGGAAATATCTTGATTCGTCGCTGAACAAGACATCTCTCCATCGCAGTTGAGGACATACCCTGTGTTGACGACACCAATACAGTCGTTGTTGACGATGTTGTCGACTCAATATGATGCGTCAAACAGGAAGTCTTGCTCGTAGACCTGCTGCTCTTAAATGGTTTCGTACGGTCTGGTCGGAGATTCTGCGCAGTCCGGGTATTTCGGATGCGATTGAGGTGGCTGTGGCCGTCCTTTCACGTAAGTGGCGCAGTCGAATATAGTGATCTTGGGCGGGGGTGGCTACTCATGGTCGTCCCGACCTAGGCCGATCACGTGTTGACCGATGCTGATGAAACTGATGCCATAGCCTTGTGATGGTGCTGGGTGCTACATTAAAAACCCTGGTCTACAGCTGATCGGGATTCCCCTGCCTGCAAGCGGCCCATGACGATGTTTCTTTGCACTTCTGTTAATCTTGGCATGTTGTTGAACTGTCACTGTTCGATTGACGCAGATGGCAGGCAATCTAAAACCTTGCACTTTGATACCGTTTGTAGTGCTGCTGCTTGTGCAGTGCGTGCAGCTCCATGGCCCATTTATTATTGCACTGGCTGCGTACATGTTTTCCGACTCATGGTTTGCATGTCCTTGTTCTGATTTTTTTAATCCGGGATATTGTAACTGACACTATAATGCATTAAACCTCTTCATTTTGCACCTCCGCTAAGTTTGCTTTTATGGCCAAAAATGTCCGTATTGCGTTTCTATTTTTGTAGAGTATATGTTTTTACGCACAATGGAGTCTGTTTCGGCGAGTAATTGAGACCGGTCATTCTCTGGCGTTGACGTTTTAAGTTTCTCCAATGGCAGGTGCACGTGTCATAGCACGCTAAACACTGCTCTTTGAGGGCGCGTATCCAAAGCAGAAAACACCAGAGAAATATCTTTTCCAGTTTATCTTTTATCCACGCTCCGCAACATAAGAGATAGTGATAAGGACACTTCCAACTCATGTGACCCCCCCACCCCCCCCACCCCCCCCCCCCCACCCCCCCCACCCCACCCCACCCCCACCCCACCCCCACCCCCCATTCAACATCACAATGATTATAACACATACTATACAGTTATTATATCAGTTGTCGGTTTTGTTGGTGTGGTCTGGCTGTACACGTAGGCCATTCTGCTGGGCTTCCCTCCAGACACATTTATCCAGGCTTTTCCTTTGTAGACTGGTAAAGAATGCGTGTGTGCGTGCGGGCGAGCGGGTGGACGCGATATTTCAGTTCTATCACGACAACAATGTGTAACACAGAATGTATGTGTGACTGCAATGTTTGACAGAAATGTATGTGTGACAGAAATGTTTGACAGAAATGTATGTGTGACAGCAATGTTTGACAGAAATGTATGTGTGACTGCAATGTTTGACAGAAATGTGTAGCGGCGATATGTGATCATGATGTGTGTCAACAAAAAATATTGGACATCAATGTGCGACAATAATGATTTACTGACAGCAATGCTTGACAACAATGACAATGGCTTTGATACCATTAATGACCTGGATATGTCTTCACTTCAGACTACAACGTGGCTGCTGCGACAGAGAAGTTCCTGTATAGATTCATCATTCAGCTGATATTTTTTATTCAATTTCCACCAAGTCACCTCAGTGGGTGAGTTATGACAATAGAAACTATTTATTTGTAAAGTAAAGGCATTAGTTCAGGTCACAACGGCATTTTTGCTTTGAACTGAGGTTCTTGTAAATTTATTCCAAATTAATATTAGCAAATTCTATATCATATAAATGTATAATTAGGGTAATTATATCCTATTCCGGTTTCATTAGTGTTTTAGGTGCTAACGAAAAAAGAGGAATTGACCAATACACATACCTTTTTCTTGAGACTCCATGGGGATTCCGGGTTACAATAGGTCAACCTAAGAGGCGACTAAATGATCGGGTGGTCAGGTGTAATCACGTGTCATCTTACCCCTGGATTGTTGCTCACAATATCGATCTCTGCATTGTCTGGTCAAGATTCGATTATTTACAGACCGACGTCATATTTCTTGAATATTGTTGAATGCAGTGGGAAACAAATAAAGAAACCATCCAATCACTTTACTTATATGTGTAGGTGTGTTATGTAGCTATGTAAAGGTTATTTACGTACTGTCTTACCATTCACAAAGTGAATTACTTTAAAGTTAAGAGAAGGTGATATCTACCCTACCTCAGAAAGACCTCAGACCCCTCTGGTTGTCGTGCCTCTAACATTACCGCTTTGCCACCGAGGCGCTGTGTGTGAGTAAGTATATTTGCTTTACGATGCATCAAAATGTTTACAGCCATTCGAGTGTGACGACACTTACCGTTTCTAACTATTTGTATTGTTTTCGTAATATTCATATGACAGTTTCTTTAACATTTGTTTCTGTAAAACCACATTTAAGTGTTAAACGTTAAACAAATGTTTCCATGTCTCCCCCGTGGTGGAGCATCAGTGTAGGCATACTGTCCTGGGTCTTTTATTCGTCGAAATGTATGTCGAAACAAGATTGAATAAGTTTAAGTAATTCTCATTGAACATTCTACTAAATGGCTAGTTCATATATTTTGTTGGGTTGTTTTCATTGTTTGCAAATAGCGACGTCTTATGAATGCACTGATGGAATAATTGAGGTCAAATGTGACGTTTGGGCGTATTTCTCCCCCTGAGGTCAAGAAGCCAACCTTTTCTTGGAAAAAACAAAACTGTAATATCTAAAATAGTCTATTTGCAGATTATCTTATTCTTTTGAATTTAACCATTATGATGACGTCACGCTATTTTGTTGCAGTTGATTCTGAGCCAGGTAAACATTATGCAAAATTAAAGAGAAATTGTGTATCAAGCATACCATGATTTAAGTCTGAGACATCACTTGAATTTGTTGATTCCCAAGTAGAATCAACATATTCTCATGATTTCTCCATTACATATTGTTGTGAGAAACCATTAATTCACTCCACCAATAGCCAATGATTTGTCGTAGCTCTTAGGCTCTTCTCTAAATGTTACAACACAATACTTTTAATGTATTATTCCAGAGCCCCTCGCAGCTAAAACCTTCTTGGAAGAGTACGGCGACCTGAGGGAAAGCCTAATCGAATCAACAAAATACAATTTCAAAGTGAGACCTAAAAATGAGACCTTCATCAACATTACTCTCGACTTCAGAACCCTGAACAAACTGGTATGTGCTGTTTTAAAAATCATGAGCCCACTCTTTAGAGTATTACATATAGTTGGGACTTTAGTGAAAGCTGCTCCTAGAAGGTAAGGTGAAATGGGCTTAACGTCGCGTCCAAGACTATTGCACTTATATAGCGACGTGCATGCACGTGTGTGTGTGTATGTGTGCGCGCGCGCGCGTGTGTGTGTGTACTTACGCCGAGTTTATAGTGCTAGCCTACTGAGATGCCATACCACAGTTTAACATGAATACCCAACTCAGACACAGTATACTGACGCCGAGCCGACCAGTCCTTCTTTTTGCGCCTTAATGTCGAGCGCCAGGCAGGGTAACAATAAGTACCATCCTTTTCAGGTATTTTGGTATGACGCGGCCGGGAATCGAACCCCCGACCTTCCGCTCTCCGGGCGGGCGCTCTATCCACTAGACCACGAAGGCGGTCGCCTCTAGAATAGTTTAAGGCCAACTTTACCTTGACCTTGGGTCCACTCATAACGGACAGTAACGGCAGGGCACTTTACTGTAACCTAGGGTCTTCATATTGAGATAACTGGACGTTTTATGTGGACTTCTCCCGTCAACTAAGCGAAATCCGAGGGCATTGTATTTTGAAAGGGAGCAGAAAGAAAAACTGTGTAGAAAACAAACCGAAAAACTGTATTAAGGGTGTAGAAAGAGGGCGATGGAAAGAACTACGGGGGGTGTTCAATACGTTTTGCAACTTCAATATAAGACCAAGTAGCAGAATATCTTTTGCACTTTTTTTTCAATATAATCTCCATTCACCTCAATACACTTATTCCATTTGTCCTTTAAGCTTTTAATACCACTTTTATAGAAATCCGCAGATTGGCCCTCTAACCACGCCTCTGTGGCAGCCTCTATGTGCTCGTCATCCTGGACGGAACAGGAAACAGTCACTGGGGGCTAAGTCTGGGTGGGTGATTTAACTGTTAACTGCGGCCTGTGCGTTGAAATGAAATCTGCCGTATAGCTACGTGGAAGACGCTTCCAGGATGACGAGGACATAAAGGCTGCCACAGAGGCGTGGTTAGAGGGCCAATTCTAGGGCCCATTTTAAGCGATGGGAAAATGAAAATTACTTAAAGTACGAAAGGAAGGGACAATAACGAAAGATTGGATTTCTATACATAGATATCAATTTATTTGGAATGTTTAATAATAATTTTGAAAGTACCATTAATCTGGCCTTTCAGTGCACAGATTATCATCCTCACCAATATCTAAACGTTACGATAATTCATTCTAATAAAAATGTTAAGTGATCATGGAAAATAAAGATTTTGACAATTAATAGCAGACATGCGTGTAACTAAGACAAAACGTCATTTTGCAAACGTTTTTGATACCAAAATGTGATCATAAGGGCACCCGACGTTTGGATCAAGCGACTTGTAAGTGGTCGACAGCGTTCCACCAAGCAGGGGGAAGATAAGTTTCTACTGATTGCAGCAAGAGGTTATCATTTCGTGGCTGCCAACACACTCAAAAATGACCTGCTCAGACATTGCGTTATCGTCTCAGCGAGCCTGGTCTCCGTTCACGGTTTCAGGATTCCAACGTAGTCGAACATCACCGCTGCGGAGGAGGCTCAATCGTTATTGATGTGTACGTGAGATTGTGTGCTGGAGTACTCGGACCAGTCGTTGATGCCCATTTAGAGCAGGAAACCATTGCCACCTGATGCGACCACAGCCTCTCACCGTCGTCACATGCACAGTGTCTGGGTGGTTGCCTAGGGAAGATTGTTACACTCTTCCGTAAGAGTATTGCTGAGTCCCTGTAGAGTAATCGGAAGGACAGGACATCGTAAGAGGGCGATCTGCAGCTCGTTCCACATGTGCTCTACGGGGTTGGAGTTTGGTGACCGAGCTGGCCATTCTTTGCGGACAATGGTCTATTCTAAAGTAGGCATCAACAAACCTGGCACGATGAGGTCGTGCGTTTTCGACCTTGAGGAAGATTGTCCGATTGCACCAGCATTCGGTCTCACGTAACAATCCAGAATGTCACCCCTGTAGCGCACACTCATTACCGTGCCCTGTTGCAGGACATGAAACTTGTTCTAATTTTGAAATCTACATGAGTCTTCCGATTTGAACCGAAATGTTGACATCCAGGATGGAACTGTAGGACAACTATCGATGTTGACAAACAATAACTAAAATCCTATTAATGTACATTTACTATTAATAACACTTTTTGTCCCGTGTAAATTGAACACGACCATTTTCATTTTCATCACCTGCTTTAGCTTGATAACATCTTTTTCATAGTTAGGTTTCAAGTAAGTAATTCACATCTATGATCTTAAGGAAATGGTTTGACGGGCATTTTGAAAATATATAATTTATGTCATGCGCAGTAGCCAGATTCTTCTTTCGGGTTGTATACACTTAAATATAACTTAGAAGAGACATCCGTTCTCTTTATTCTAGTCATGGATCGATGAACGGCTTACCTGGCTATCAACAACTGGCATCGACTACCTGATATATAGCATCAGAGAGATGTGGACACCAAATCTAGTTATTACAAATTAGTAAGTACCTATATTGTGCTACAATGAAAACATACGTGATGGGGTATCTACTGAAACGTTCAGTTACCTGCACACAAACAGAAATGACTTCACTGTGCACTTTCAAAGATAATAACTTTGTAATGCATTCAACTTTAATTTTGCGACTTATATTAAAGATTCTCAAACACAATGAAGCATACGAGATCATCTTCCCGATCGCGAGGCAAGAGCGTCCGCTAGCCTTTTTATCAAAGTCTTGTTTCCACCCTTGCCACATCAAGCCCACTTTCCTGTGCTACATATGATTGGACTATCTCACATATCTCCAATCAGAGAACGTTTCACAAAATCATCATCCACGACTGGTACACCTGAGTAAGGAAGGGATTTGTCATTGTTGACACGAATATGTTTTTTCAACTTTAAACCCCCCCCCCCCCCCCCCCCCCCAACGATTGCCTATGGTTTTTTTGTGTCAGGGATGAAAACACGAATATTTTCGTTATCTGATCGACTAGATCTCGCCTATGGCAGTCGCCATCTTAGGATAGAAATCTGATTGGATATTACGTTTTCATTACAAGGGACACAACTCGTGATTTACGCGAGGTGACGCCAGGGTCGAGCCAAGAAAAGTGGCCTTGATGTGACAAGGGTAGAACTAGGCTTTGATATTGGCTTGTGGACACGCTTGCCTCAGGAAGATGACGAGATGTAGACTTAATTATTTAAGGAATAAAGGTGACGAGAGATAACGTTTATTCCTCTCATTGAAGTTTACGGCCTAAATGTTTACAACCGAGGCATACTGAACTATTTTATATTTAATCATGGGTTCAAACTTGAAATTATTTGGAGTGGAGTGGGCGCATCCCATGAGTGAGGTGGATCTTCTGCCGGAGGGAATTGTAAGCAGTTCGTTCCAGAGTGATGGCGAATGGGAGTTACTGGAGAAGAAACTACAAAGTGGAGGAGAAGTTGGAGCACATAATTTGACCTATGAAAAGATCAAGTATACATTCTGCTCCCAAAGGCAATTTCAATGGTACATTCCGTTGATGATGATACCACTGGGTGTTCTGTCCCTACTGATGCCAGGCATGTTCCTTGTGCCTGTGGAGACTGGAGAGAAAATGTCCTACGCTCTGACAGTGATGCTGTCATTTACTGTGATCAGTTCTTTTCTCTTTGAAACACTACCAACCGTTTCAAACACCTACTCCTTATTAGGTAAGCAAGACGTTCCTAGTTGCAATAAGAAATTAGTTGCTAAAACTGAGGAATTAATAATGGTATTATAATATAATTATATACATTACTGAAATTAATCAGAAATCCTCAAAGAATCAATTCCGCGTGACACCCTCGCAGGCACAAATCACGTGGCGACGTTATCTATCTGTGTCTCTCACGTAGTTTCAAGGGTTATATGGAAAACGTGAAATCAAATAGATATACGTTGATTTAAAGATTGATTATGATATCCCATATAGCTCATGTGTGTATATACGATCCCAGTTAAACCATCTAAGGATTACGGTGGCCCATAAGGGACATGGAGTCTGTTTTTCCATATTTTGATGTTTCACTTACTTTTATCGTAACCTTTAGCAAATTAACACAAATTGTCATACAAATATGTAATAAATCATGTATAAAAACAAGCAAAAACATGGAAAATGTGAAGCGAAAATGTCAAAAACTAAAATGGAAATGTCAAAAACCAAAACGAAAATGTCAAAAACTAAATTGGAAATGTCAAAAACCAAACGAAAATGTCAAAAACCAAAACGAAAATGTCAAAAACTAAAATGAAACCACAGAAAACTATTTCCACCGCGGTGATAATATTTCCACCACGAGTTGATAAATAACTTTGTATGTTAAGAAAAGCCTGATTAAATATTTGATTGATATAATATTGTGGCCTAACAGGTGCGTGACTTGTCAATTTTTTATCAACGAACAACCAATCTTAATTATGTCTAATTGAGACATTTTCAAACAAACGTAACATCGAAATGTTGGAAAGAAAAAGTCTAAATTTCTGTTCTTTTCATATTGTTCATGTCATGAACGAAGTAGTAGTAGTACTAATGTCAGTATCAATATTTGTGTGGGAACAGTTTGGTTGTAAATACATTGTGAGCCACAGCGAATTCTCACCTAGACGCATTGGTCGAGTTACCGACTTAAATGGACAATGGGCTACAGTTAACAGGTATGCCCCTTTTATTTGGAGTATGTGTTGATCTCTCCACCGTGTTTGACGTCAGAGGAAAATCGATTTGCATCATATACATTGTAAAATACATCAAGTTATTAATAATAACCATACATATCCTATTTACGTCAGCGTGTGTTACAGATACATGGCAATAACTCATATTGTCGCACAGTACATTTATCGGTATGCGATCAAAAGTGGCTACATTTGCAATGTATCTTTATGCATAACGGACTCTTGGTCAATATTTATTATTATATCTCCATTTCTATATTTGAGACTGAGTTAATCTTACACCACGAGACATCAATGTACTGTGTAAATGATATCGGTAATATGATTTGTTTTGGAGTTTGTAAATTCAAAACGAGATGTAGCCAGTTATTGTTTATCTGCCGATAATTGCTTGGTATGTTAGTTGGTTTATCCACATACATTTAGTTCTTTTAAAAAAGGGAAGTACGAAACAAATCTGTATTATTCATTAATAACAGTATAATGAATCAAATTTAAATGAAAGATACGCATGGGAACCTAGTGAGTATAATGTAGTTGTTGACATGGGGTGTTGTTTGGTGGTTTCCATTTAGTGTCACATACTACAGTAAAACTCAAACAACTGAAAGTGTCTACATAAACCGTTGCATGGAAACCATCACTGAAATGTTCCAATCACGAAAACCAAGAGTTAACCTGTGTCACCCCGTTTCCATCTGTTCCCCAGAGAGTTGGAAACCCGCATTTTGTTGTGATGACAAACGACTTAGTTTCACTTCCTGGATGCGTGAAACATAATAAGAATAAATACTTTATATGTTTTTCAGGTGTATACATTTCTTCAACGATGACGTGCGGTGCACTAATGATTGTGTGTTCCTTGATGGTGCTCTATACTAACCACCCTGCTGATGTCAGTGACCGCATGAGAACAGTGAAGGCGCTCGATACTTGTGCTTTTGTTTTCTTCTTCAGCCTAATGGTACTGATGTTGATCTGTTTTCTGTTTATTTTGAATTATCCTATCGATGATAAGAGCATTAGTGTCATTGGAATAATGCTTGGCGTTCCCATTGCAGTTAGCGTTTTCACATGTTCAGTCGTAACCATATATAAATGTCGAAAGAGTCCCCATATCAAGGAAACAGATCAACAGGGAGGAACACAACAAACGGAAGGTGAAGATACTTCTGCTGCCACCTCATCTGCCCTATAAAATATGGCGTCATAAATTGAATTCCCCATGCCATTACAAATGCAATCCTTAAAATTGGTGCATCACCTATTTCCAACGCATCGGGCGCATTGCATTCAAAATTCGGTTTTAATGTGTTCGCATATGTAAATTACCAAGAAGTGCTTTTTTTCGCGCATCGTATGAAGTCACACATAAAACTACGGGATCAGTGTGATATAGTCTTAAATCGAAACAAGGCAAATATATCAGCAACAATATATATGCAAATATATATCATGATCAACACGCATGTGACGACACGGGTGCTCAACCGGTTGGGCCGTGAAAAAAGGATCGTGAACTTACATTTTGCTTCACCATAGTAAAATTTGTAGTATGAGTACATAGACATTGTATGAACACTCGCTCGCATGCCCGCGAACATGCAAGCACGCACGCACGCACTCACGCACGCACGCACGCACGCACGCACGCACACTGGTTCTCATTAGTCAGGTATGGTAATACAGTTTGAACTTTGATACCACGGAGGGTGGTTTAACATGTGTATAGTTTCCCCGTCGTTTAAAACTTTATGATTTATAAACTGCTTCTCATTTTTTTTGCGTCTATTTTTTTAAGTGTCACATCTTACATACAGCACAAATATAAAACGTGTAAGTAAGCAATAAATATAACATCCTGCCAAAAAATGGTCTATGACACACTAGTATGGACATGTAAAACGTTTATAGGCACGTGACCTATGAGGCACTAAAATCGACATGTAAAGCATAATACTAATAAATACTTGAAAGTTGTATGAACCGTTATGTTATAGGCAGTTGTGTTGATTGTAAGTGGCAGAACTTTGATTTCAGCACTGGTACAACAGAGAGTTGTGGTAGTTACCCCCCTTAGTTGTTTTTCGTGTCCAAACTCCTTCCCTGCGCTTGACATATTTTCGCGAACACCTTGTATGATCACTTTTTAATAGTGATTCAAAAACACCTGGTATGATCACTAATGGTATAGTCGGAATTGTAAAATCGACTCTTCCGTCAGCGGAGCTTTCTCAAGATTATTGAATGCATTTTGTCGCTTATATTCACCCTCCTGGTATAGAACCCTCCGCTGTGAGGAGCTTGTTTACAGGCTTGTTTACAGTTTCCAACTTCCAGGGGTTGAGATATATCGGACAACTGAATGTGTTTTACTCTGGTATCAACCAGTAAACCACAAGTCTACCTCATTATGTTGAGTGAGTGAGTAAGCTTACGCCGCTTTTAGTAATAGTCCAGCAATATAATGGCGGGGACCCCAGAATTCAGCTTCACACATTGTACCCATGTGGGGAATCGAAACCGGGTCTTCGGAGTGACGAGCGAACGCTTTAACCACCAGGCTATCCCAATTATGTTTGGTGATGCATGTGTGGTATGCGAACATGGGATGGGTGAAAACACAAGGTGCCTGGTGGTTTCTCTCTTTCTAGCTTCCAGTTGCGAATAACCGCATATTTCAGCCTATACACATTGTAGACGATTCACGTAGCACTAGCAGTTACGAAGTTATTTTCAACATATTTTCAGTACGTCACTGTACGGCTGGCACTACATACGCACAATAATCTTGAACGCGACGCTAAGCAGGATTTCACCTCACCTCGCATCTATTCAGCACAAAAAGAGAAGTGTTATCACGCCAAACATTTCACGAACTAATTGATGCAATGTACTTCAGCTACCGCGTGTCTGATGTAGTAATTTATCAAGGAGTATGGTGATGGTGTCAAGGTCGAATGTACTATTGTTTTCTTCTACACCTGCACTGGTGTAAACAACTCACCTCGATTGTATATCAAATTGTTCGCATTGGGTTGCATTTCATTCATGGTGTAACTGCTCTTGATTTTCTATACAGACAGAACTCAATGTAACTGCTATATGACGGTGGTCTGTAAATAATCGAGTCTGGACCAGACAATCCAGTGAAAGATATCATGAGCTATTGGGATACGATGACATGCATCAACTAAGTCAACGAGCCTAACCACCCGATCCCATTAGTCGTCTCTTACGACAAACCGAACATGTCTGACCGTGGTCAAGAGATGACTCTTTTATTTTCCTGGCAGAAGCATGTGAATAGACGCGCGTGTGTGTGTGTGTGTGTGTGTGTGTGTGTGTGTGTGTGTGTGTGTGTGTGTGTGTGTGTGTGTGTGCAGGCATATATATATATATGCCTGCTCAGCAGAAGAAGTTCATTTTCTGATGAAGTGGATTGGTTTTGACTGCTCTGATAATGTTGGAATATACTGTTACTGAACGCAAACAATCACGCATGCACACACAAACTGTGCCATCTGACTTGATTAATACAAGTCAGCATACCGTAGTCAATACATTTAATGTGTCACAGTCTGCGATTGCAGGTTGTGGAACACATCCACTTCGCACAATACACATTACTCGTCCCGGATCGTTTCAACAAGACGCCCAAGATGCACAACCCCTTTCCCGGATCATCTCACCAGGACGCCCTTTGTCAACAACACATGTCCCGGATCATCTCACAAGGAATTAAGCCCTCAATCCACACACCCCGTCCATTACAGTTATGTCAAGGCGGCTCACCTTAACAAGCGGAAAGTCTGAGACATTTTCTCATGTAACGAGCACTGGTATTTTGTTGACGCACTAAGAATTATTATCAGGGCGAATATGGGATTCGAACCCACGATCATATGACTTTAACACGCCTAAAGTTGGTTGGTTGGTTGGTTTGTTGTTTAACGCCGCACTCAGCAATATCCCAGCTATATGACGGCGGTCTGTAAATAATCGAGTCTGGACCAGACAATCCAGTGATTAATATCATGAGCATCGATCCACGCATTTGGGATCGATGACATGCATCAACCAAGTCAGCGAGCCTGACCACCCGATCCCGTTAGTCGCCTTTTACGACAAGCATAGTCACCTTTTACTGCAGACCTATTCTACCCCGGAATCTTCAGGGGTCTAACACGCCTAAAGAACGCAACGTGTAATTTGAGGTGACACTAGTTAAGAAGCAACGTAAACATCCTCTTTTGAAGGGTATCAAGAAATACGGCCAAGTGTGCCTTTCTATTGTTAGCAACCATTGCCGGACTTAGAACTGATTTAATTGTAATATTGACATTTCTTACCAAAGTATTGTATTATACGTTATGAAGATGTTCATTATAACGAAAATGTTATAAATCCATGTACTATATAGTTTACTGAGGAGGAACAACTTTTCGTAATTCTTGAGACTTCTGAATACTAGTATTCACGCAGCTGACAGGATAAGGGGGGATCGTACCTCGAGGCACTTCCTCGGAGCAAATTATCCCGTGAGGTAGCTTTGCAGCAAATCTATTTAACCTTACCCTACCTCCGTAGGCACATCGCTCGTTGCTGCAGCAACGGAACATTCCCCAACAAAGGTTCTGAATAACTAAACAGTTCGATACATTGTAAATAGCTTTAGTCTATAGATTGATCAGTAACATTGAGTGCTAACCTATCAGGCAACTCATCCATCAGTCAAATGTCTCCCGTTCAATTCCTGAGAAACTGTTCTGGTTCCTGGGAAACTTCACGATTGATATGGACTTTATGTAAATTAAAATCGATACTGAGTATTCACTATTATAGACGGGTTTTTATTTCAATGGTTGCTTTGGACAAGAGTATTGATTGATAAGAACGGCTGGTGTTACATAATACCAAATACAAGTTTGGTATGCCTCTTATGCCTCGGTTTGGTTTGCCATGGATATTTGATATTGAACGGGCCACACATTTCAGCAAGAGGTCAGTTAATGTGGTTTAAATAATAGTATATTCAGGAAACAAATCAACAGACAACAAATATTGTAGCCGTCGAATACATGTAAAATAGACAAACGGTATGTACAGTACTGTGTAGAATTGAATATGATATTGAAATAATGAACATGTTCAAAACAGTATGCAGTATACCTTGTTGAAGAACGTAAGTTGATAACAAAAAAACAGTGTTTACACGTGCACATACATTCAGCTACATAAGAAATTTTATATTTCATATTATTTTGTTGTCTTTAATTCTAAGATGCTTTGCGACTGTACTTTATCCTGCGATATAATACACTTTTTGAGTTACGTCATAATGGGCTGATATCATGACTATTCCAATTATCTCCCCGGGTCTACGTACTGTAATGGTAAATCGTTCTTTCATTTCTGTCAGGCAAGATGTCGCATCTACATCAATATCGATCGGTAAATAGTTTTTTTTTTTGAGCTTGTCGAATAATTGTTTGCTCTAACTTGTAAAGATTTATGGCAAGATGATGATGTCATGATCACTCTCTCATGCAAGCGTTCTCGTGCTTTAACTATACTAGTTCAGGGCAAAGCTATAGTTTATTACACAACACATCTGGGTATGAGGGATGGTCCAAAAGCTCTGAGCCTGACTTACATTCAACTTTGGTCCATATCAAAGTGAACTAGTCAATGTTTGAGTAGTTCATTGCAAGTGTAGTGGGTCTGTGAGGACGTCTGTATATTAGTGACAACCAGTTGAACGTGATAGGGTTCCAGATGGACACAGAAATAGAAAAGAACGACCCCCGAGCACTCATCAAATTTTTCCCACAACAATCGTCAACGATCATCTCAGCAAGTTTGCACACTATTACAGTTTTCAAGGCGATACTTTTTATATCTATTTAGATTGTTTGATAAATCAACATATTAGCACCCACATATTAGCCCTAAACAATGATTGTGGAATTTCTGCATTTCCTTTTACTTGTTATCCTAAACCTGAGATGTTGAAAATAGCCAAGTCTTTAGATAGGTTGTATTCAGTATGTGAAATCGACCTGGGGTCAAAACTTTCAAAGAATGACTTTCAAAAATATCTTAACTGGTAAATTCAGTCAAGTAAAACAATAGTGCAGATGTTAGTCCATTAGTCTAAACTTACATGTAGCCCAGCTGACATATCCCTTGTAAAATTTGAATACGGTAAATATGATATCAATAACCTGAGAAACATCCGACTACGTTTATTCATTATCTTAAACTTTTATTATCTGAACAACTCTTAAAAATGAAATGAAAGTGAAATGTAATTAGCATATTAAAAACTAAAATTGATATAAATAATGTTGTCGTGGCTAAAAATTACTTAACATCTATCTATATATCACCTCTTAGTACATATCAAAGTTGATATTACACTGGATGAAATTTGGAGAGCCAAATAGATCATTGGAGGTACAATGCAATAGAAAAATCAGCTCGGCATTGGAAGAAGCGGCTTTAAAATATTACACTATTTAATGCAATTGCGAAAACATGGCAACTGGGACATTGTGCAACAAGACCACGAATTTATCATTAAATTAATAATGAAAGGCAAATATATTTTTTTATTTTCGTGGCTGCTGTTAGTAGTACTGTCGTTGTAAATACATTTTTAATATTATTTCAAAGAGTTCTGGTCAGGAGTTTTATACAAAATACGACTCGACTAGATCTCCATTATTTATTTTTCATGCAGATTGGAATTCAACTGGTTGACTTTGAAAGTTGAACAGTACTGCAGTTACAACAGAAACATTTTAGAAAATTGGATTCATTATATTATTGTCGCTATACAGTCATTATAATGGGTTTTCGTGAATGTGAAACTTAGAACAGCAATATGTAGGTTCATCCCTTCTCTTCCAACGAATCCGTGAGTGAGTGAGTGAGTTTGGTGAGTGACATTGCTTCTCCAAACTTGCTGTGTTATGTTTCCATGTACACCACGAAAATATATTTCCAAAACAATGGCATTCATTGTCTACTCAAAACTCAGCTGCATTGCAATAAATTGTTCTGTTGGAATGTGATTACCTATTTCATATGAACAGTTCAAGTATGTGAGGTATCAACATTAGATTTATATTGTTTTGACATGTCTTTCAAAATAATTACTTTAAAATATGTATGATCTTTGTTTGTTTGTTTGTTGCAAGTCGTAAAAAGGCGACTAACGGGATCGGGTGGTCTGGATCGCTGACGTGGTTTATGCATGTCGATCCCAATTGCGTGTATTGATGTTCATGATATCAATCACTGGATTGGCTGGTCTGGACTCGATTATTTACAGACCGCCGTCATGTTGCTGGAATATTGCTGAGTGCGGCGTTAAACAATAAACCAACCAACTATAGAATGGGGATGAAGTTATTCTGAGACACATCTTCTAAATGAATGTTCTTCTGAGAGAAACGACTCTTGGAAAATAGCCCCGACGCGAGTCAGGATATCGTCAATAACGGCGACAGGGAACGTCTGTGGGGTAAAGATAGTAACTGTTATCTTTCCTTTGTGTAAATTCCGAATGAGTGCCAAATGAGCCTTGAAATGGTGCGTGAAGTCTTCTGGTGACGATCCGTATATGTCTAAAATGTAACGAAAGCCTAACTTAACATTGAAGTAATGTCCAGTCGTCACAAGCTTATATTTGTTGTTACGGGATGGACTGCCGAACAAGACAGTTCTTTTGTTAAAAATACTGGCAAAGTTGCCTTCGGTTAGTTTATATGGCATTCTGTGCACATACAGGATTCCTCCCGGAAACAAGATGTCACGCGTTTCCGGGTCAGAGAGCAGGCGGTGAAGGTCTTTCTGGTTCAAAGGTTGGAGGTCAGATGATGCCTCCTCGACAACACTTTCTGGTATCGCATAGGTATAAACCTTCTGAAATAAAAATGGTACATGTGAATGTACACTAACAATGGACATTAAACTACCAACATTTAGTAAGTAAAAGTTCAACTTGATTACAACTTGCAATTATAAGTGAAACAAATTATACTGTTGTAGAATGGAAAGGACCGAGCGTATGTTCACCTGCATAGCTATGTGTTCAAAGCCACTATCTGGTTGTAGCAGCTTCTCAGCAATTGCTTTGAACACAACCAATTTTTCATATTTCACTGATTTGATTGTCGACATTGTTTGGTATAGATGACTTCTCAGGGCCTTGTAGTAACCTTGACCCTGATAGGCGTCCTTGACCCTTCCAGCTCTCAGCACAAATGCTTCACGGTTGTCAATCAATGCTCCACACAGGAAGCCAATCTGAGAAGAGTTATAGGGATATGAGGTGCGGGAAAAGATGAGAGTCCAGTAACTTCTGTTTTTATCAGCCTTACAGAACATATTTACCCTAATTACACAGAAACAGTTTCTCAAGCAGTTGCACAAGAAAGACGATGGAACATAGTAACTATACATGTACTTACTGAATTAATGAATTAATGCATGAGGGAATTAATGAATAAATGTTGTTGTCAGTCATACAATACCTGCATTCCACCCAGTGTACATTGTAAATGAAATTGAACATGGTAAAAACATGGGATTGAGATCATTCGGCTGACTTGGTTGATGCATGTCATCGTATCCTAATTGCGTAGATCATGATGTCAATCACTGAATTGTCTGGTCCAGATTTGATTTTATATATAGGCCGCACTCAGCCTTCGTCCTTCATTATATAGCCTTAGCGTCCAGATAAGCGAGTTGTATACTTACCACTTCCCCATCTACAATACATAGGAAGTTCATGTAGTTGTCGTCTTCCAAGAACTCAGTATATTTACAAGGGAGATAATCCACTCCATTGTATACTTCGCCAATAGATAACACATTTTCATAGTCCCTCAGAGTTGCCAACCGAATGGTACAGTTGCTCATCCTACAATATACAACTATATTATGTGAGAGAGAGAGACACACACACACAGAGAGACACACAGAGAGACACACAGAGAGGCAGACAGAGAGAGTACATCCAAGCACAAAACCATCCACAAATAAAAAAACATATCATGTACAACGGCCGCCATATGTGCCTATGAGAGACAGTACATCAACATAGTGGATTACAATAATATATTTTTTTTTCAAATTGTACACTGTTCTTAAAATAACACTACTGATATGGAATTCAGCAGGTCACCTTGAGAAGAGATCTTGACGTCAGCACTCTTCGTCGATAGCGTTATCGAGCACTTGGTACAATTATCCCAGTCATAGAGTTAACCATGTCGTTGCGCGAGATAACTGTTTTATGAAAATGAGACTCGTGATCAGCCTCTGAGCCTCTCATCATGCTGTGTGGGACAAGTGGTACATCTCTTCGACCTGTATCACTACCTACATGTACCTCACAAATTAAACTGACGTATTTTAGAAAATGGCTGTTCGAAGTAGCGTAAGCTCTCGAAAAATAATCACCATAACGGTTTTGTTCGTCACGTCGTTTGCGTGGATTCGTTTTCTTTGCGATGTGGCTGCAAATGTACCTCTTGTCGTCATAGTGGTGCATATATGTGATCTTTAAGCCACACGTACTCACTTTGAGTCCATTTTCCAACCGATAAGCGCTTAAAACTTATTTACCTGGGAGACAGTGTTGTGTGTAATAACCACTAACAGTGTGATCTACTCACGTTGACCTTCTAAAATTTGCATATCATTGTTTGCCTTACCTAGATACCTCTGACCCCGAGAGAAGGTAGGAACAGGTCTGGAGGATGGTATGCTTTTATCTCAAAACGCTTAGAGACAATGTCAAGTAGATCTCCCCGTGGCTGTGAACCCGAGCCGTTGTTTATCGCCGCTGCCGGCATAATTTCAGTAATATTACGGTCTGTGGTAAATAAGTGAGTTAAGTCTCTCTGAAACCAGAGTCAGGATCATTCCCCCGCCATCATTCGTCCCGTCAATAACCGAGTCCGGCCCAGACACATTATGAGCGGCTGTCCGCGCATCCGGGCATCTCCAAAATCACAGAGGAAACAACTGGGTGATAGAATGAGCATTTATCTGAGCTGTCGAGGTGCAAGGCTACCAGTCAGTTCTTACAGTGTGGCCACCGGACCCCGTGATATTGGCTGCTCGGGATTTGGGGCATTCTAAATAGTGCCTTTGTATAATGAATTCATGATTACATATGCATATTCCAGATGAAATTAGGTCAGGAGGACAGAGGTGTGGCTGAGTTAATGTCATTATAAGAATCATATAAGAATTGACCTCAATATCTTTTGCGTTTATGGAGGTAGGAACGTAAAAACCGGTGTCCAACTTTGCATAAGTCCGCGTATTTTTTGCGTTTATGGCTTTTACCGCTATAAAGGCAAAGACTTATTGAAGTCGATTCTTATAAATAAATAAGTCAACAATAATAACTTTCATGGCTGCTTATTTAATCGTTAAAACAAAAACCTGTTGACAATAGTAGAGTGACATTGCAATAATGCAACACAATCCCCGCCCATTCTATATGATCCAGTCAGGAAATAGTAGTCTGTTTTTGGGACGTGGCCTTTTTTCTTTTCGGCTTTTAGAAACAAACTCGCAAAAAATATTGCTTGATTAGCCAATCAAATGCCACGGAATTGCTTTGAATTTTTTTTTATTTAGGCGAGCCTGATGACACTTATGGTGATGAATGTCATTGTTTACACAGAAAGAATACCTGTAAATATACTACAGAGCATGTAGTATAATGATATAGACAGCTTCTTTCAAGAAATTCATTTATATCAGCAACATTAGTGAGTGACATCTTACTATCATTTTCACTATATTGCGTAACAATCACTTTTAATGTTCGAGGTATACGGGGCATTTTATATCATAAAACATTCTCGGCTCCATTGATATACAAAAACATATTTACTTTTTGAAGACTTTTATAACATTTCGTTATTTCTGTTAATAAAACACTTACTAAACATGCATCATTATTCCAAACTGGACGGAACTACGTGGAAGCATAATAAGTTCCATACATAACCCCCAGAAATACAACAGTAACAGCAATAAAAATAAACGTAAATACTCGAAGAAAAAATGCATCCAGGCATTTCGCAAAATCTTGCCAGGTGACATCTTCGGCTACTTCATGTTTACCTCCCTTGTCACTCCAGGCAGAGGAGACGTTAGTGGAACATGTTTTGGTCCTGGGTGTATTCATGGAGCTTGTTGTCCTTGAAATATCGCTGTCTTCTAATACCATCCCCTGTGGCCTCACCGTTCTGGACTTGGGTTTAACGCTGGCGCATCCAGCCATGACTCTGTAGAGGAGCAGCGTGCCGTGAGCCAGCGGCTTCTTGTCATCCTGGTAATACAGCCACAGGACCAGGGTAGTGAGGAACGTGATCAGTGTGCCCAGATTCATCACCAGCGTTAGGTAGATCTCTGAAATGAACATAAAGTGTAGAGAACTAAAATCACACACTTTACTACAAATGCGTTCCAAAGTATAAGGAATCATCTAGGGCTTGTACTGGTAACTTGGGTACTCAGGTCGAGTGGGTACTGAGTAGGACCCGGGTACCTCAAGGGCTGCCCGAACCCGTTTATCACGTGGTATAGTAGCAAACATTATCTTGAACTCAATGGTTACACTACAAGTCACTAATGTTCGCATTTCTTTCTTACTATGCACACATTCCTTCTGACTTTCATATGTTCAACTTCAGTGAATGCATGACCATATCGTTTTATACGTGTATCTGAATATATTTTGCCAGGGCTATAGTCAAACTATTCCCAATCGGACATTTTGTACCCATCACTTGAGACCTACAGCGGTTAGCAAATTAGGGTAGGGTAAATAGGGGTGGGGTAGCCGTGTAATAAAATTTGGAATCGTCCCAGCCCTAGAATCACCCCTGGCAAAGAACGTTAAATCAGCATTTTGGAGAAAGTGATGCAAGGGTTGGCTCTTCGGCAATAATTAAGTCATACTGAGCTTTAAGGATAACTGTATCCTGAATAGAGAGATTCTCACGTACATGTATATGCATCTTGAAAAGGTTAAGCTTATTTTCATGTATCGCGAAATATGGAAATATCGATATATTATATAAAATTTGTCACATCTTGATGAGTGTGCCACTAATGCGGCGAAGAAAACTATGCATATCAGCGAGTCGTATAATGCGTTGCAAAGAAAAATTGAAAGATTGAAAGGTTCGACAAATAACTATTTTCGGGCGAACAGTTACAAAATTTGTCCTTTCATAATAGATTTTGGTTTATGCATTGTACTATGAGAATGTCACTTGAAATTAGAAAACAACTCTGTTCCGTCACAAAATGTAAAAGGGGGCACGGGTGGCCCAGTCGTCTAAGGCGCCACGATTCGATGTGCAGAGTTGCGTCTCTTGGGTACGCCAGAAAGGTATGATTGTGGGTTCGAATCCCGGTTCGCCCCGTTTATGTTTCTAGGTTTGTCAGCACCATGCATACTTGTGCTCGTGGGTTTCACCGAAGTGTTAAACGGCTGAGACATGCGTCACTTCGGGCTTTCCTTCCACATTAAGCTGACGCGCCGTGATATATCTGGAATAATGTTAAAGGCGGCGTTAAACCTGAATCACTCACTCATAAATTTAAAAAAGATACGTTTTTCAAAGGTGGCCATCTTGTATGGAAATATATATAGCCCGCGGCGCCTGATTATGATCCAGGTGTATGGAGGTCACCTCTGTTCTCAGAGTAGTAAACTGTGCCTTGTTACTAGTAAATGGATCGTGTACATGGTCTGTACATTGTCTAGGTAATGGTGATGACTAATCAAAGTTATCTCTCAAACACAATGTTTCAAAACGAAAGCTTCTATACACACGCAGAGCTGAGGTTCTTGTTGATATGGCTGGAAGACTGTCAGAGATGAGCGTCAGCAGCACTGTGAAGGACAACAGAACAGTCAAAGAGTAGCCGATCTTTTCCCCAGATTCAACAGGCACTGCAAACACGCCTGTCATAAGACATGAACTCAGAATAAGGGGCAGCAGCAGCGTCAATCCATAGTATTGCCAGCGTCGTCTGAAGGTCAGCGAGTACTGGATGTCCCTGTATTGTTTGTTGAAGCCCCCATTAAAGTCACTGAGTGAAGCAGATGTGTGTGTCAGCTCCCATTCTCCATGGGCAGAGTACAATTCTAACGTTATTGGTTTGTCTGGATCTGTGTGGAGGTCCAGCTCATCAGTTGCGTAGGTCCAACCGGTAATGTTGATGATGCAAGCCTGCACGTCAAATGGATAGTTAGATATGTCGATGGTACAAGATGTTTCTAGTCTCGTTGGAGGAATCCACAGCATTTTCCCATCATGGAAGACTCGGAGGGGGACTCCCTCTTGCCCAATGGGTCCAACTTTGTTCATTCTGTGAATTTGAAATTCCAAGTCACTTGTTACTATTTGTCTCTATGTTGCTAAGGTGCACACTCATAATACCGTGAGATATTATATTCATTCTGTATACATTCTGTGTCAATATGCATTCGTAAACATAAGTAAAGTCACCGTTAGTTTATCTCAGTGCCGTAAAGCTAAATTTTCCGAATTTCAGCATGGAGACATTATTCACTTTGAAGACATTGAAATAGACCCCTTCAGTATCTATTATGGGAGTGGTCTTGTCAATGTCATATATATTTCACACCAGTCACTTGAAAAAAACTGAGAACTATATAACAGATAACATATTTATGATCAGTATGTTTTAAATGCTATGCTTTAAATGGCCAAACTGTCCTTCAAAAGAATTAGTGAGTTAAAATATGAAAATTAAAAGCCATATTGTACCTGCATTCAATACATTTGCGTTGAAATCATGCAAATATATCTGATAAGTAAATGTACGTACTACATAAAACCGTGATATATGGTCACGTTTGCATACGTCTTTTATTCAGTTAGGGACACGGGTGGCCCAGTCGTCTAAGGCGCCGCGATTCCCTGTACAGAGTTGCGTCCCTTGGGCACGCCAGAAACCTATGATTGGGGGTTCGAATCCAAGTTCGCCCCGATTATGTTTCTAGGTTTGTCAGCACCATACCCGTGCTCGTGGTTTCACCGAAGTGGTAAACGTCTGAGACCTGCATCACTTCGGGCTTTCCTCCCAAATTAAGCTGACGAGCCGCGATATAACTGTAATACTGTTAAAAGCGGCGTTAAACCCAACTCACTCACTCACTCACTTTTATTCAGTCACCAGCATGCACAAGTGTCCATAAAACCCTTCATTAGTTACATGTTTATCTCACATGTCCCTGACCAGGTTCCCTTGTGTCCATTTCCACAAAGTAATCTTAGAACTATGAGCACTTAAAGTTTACCGTGTATTCAGTGTAAACGTATTTCAACACCATGACAAACTCTTTTGGTGATTTGTTTTCATCCGCACTTGAATCACTTTATCCACGATTGAACTAATCTAGTTGGCTAGTTAGTGTTGGCTTTATACACCCGGGTTCGCTCCACCACATTGATACAGTGGGTGTTGTTTAGAACAGGATTTAGCCATATTATTTTCGTAAAAGGAATGACTGATTACACCTTTAATATTTAGTAAAACATGATTATCGTTATTATCAAAAACGTTGCTTACTCATTGGACACGACTAGGGGTGGCGTCCACACCTCCGTCTTTTGCAAAGCCAAAAAGTCTGTCCCATTGTATTGATTGGAGTTCCAGGTTAACCTTTCATCCCTCCAGGTCTGGTCAAAAACAAACAAATCGTCATGGTATTCTAACTCATACAAGAACCAATATGCATTTGAATTTGTTTTGGTGACAAAGTCATGATGGACGTGTCTTGAGTTTCTTCCATTCTAGACTAGAAATGTACACTTAAACAAAATAATATATTGATCGCTGGGCATTCAAAATATCCTGAAAAAACTTGTTTTCAAAAGATAATATTTGAAAGAATATGTTTGCTTAAAGCAGTGTAAATGGAGGATCTTTACGTCATTTAGTTGCAACAAAGCGTTCATATGATGTCATGATATGTCTATTTGGCTCGTGGGGTAGCCTAGTGGTTAAAGTGTTCGCTCGTCACGCCGAAGAATCGGGTTCGATTGCCCATATGGGTACAATGTGTGAAGCCCATTTCTGGTGTCCCCCGCCGTGATGTTGCTGGAATATTGCTAAAAGCGGCGTAAAATCATACTCAGTTACTAGTTTAACATTTACACAAACGGCGCCAGTTAGATATTTTTCAGGAGGGTCATACATCAACATAAATACAAGATGTAATTTATTAACATTTGTTCCATTAATGATATCATAGGATGCATAAATATCTCACCGTAAACCACAGGCAGTTGACAGACATGGATTGAGTCGCCGTGTCCTGGAAAAAAAGTTAGATTTGATCAAGAATACATCACCTTTGTCCTAACCACACAAAAGTTATTATCAATAGAAAATATGGATGTTTGACTCGCGTGGTCGAAGTAAACAGAATGCATGTAATGTCTGTTTATGAACATTTAAAATGAGATTATTGTTTATGGAATTGGTAACTGCATGCAAAGACGGAAACAAGACACTCCACCACCCTTTTTATCTGAAGGTAAATGCCTTTTAATTAATTTAATTTGTAACTCCAAAAATGTCAAAGGTGAAGTACATGTCATGTGGGTCTAACTATTTCTTCCAAACTTACAGTATGTTCTTCTATTTCTTTACCGGACTCTGAAGTCAACACTGTTCACTTAACTATACAGTTCCATTTCCTACTGTTGACACGGGTCCGCCTTCATGAGAGTGTGTAGGAATACAAGAACGTGATGATAATATATGGCCACCTGGCTTGAAATTACGACACTAAGCATGATCACGCAAGTAAGTCTTGATTTAAGCAACGAGCGTCTACGGAGGCCGTATGTGATGTTGTAATGCATTTGTACGTACGATACTGTCTACGGAGACCCTATGTGATGTTGTAATGCATCTGTACGTACGATACTGTCTACGGAGACCCTATGTGATGTTGCAATGCATCTGTACGTACGATACTGTCTACGGAGACCGTATGTGATGTTGTAATGCATCTGTACGTACGATACTGTCTACGGAGACCCTATGTGATGTTGCAATGCATCTGTACGTACGATACTGTCTACGGAGACCGTATGTGATGTTGTAATGCATCTGTACGTACGATACTGTCTACTGAGACTCTATGTGATGTTGTAATGCATCTGTACGTACGATACTGTCTACGGAGACCGTATGTGATGTTGTAATGCATCTGTACGTACGATACTGTCTACGGAGACCGTATGTGATGTTGTAATGCATCTGTACGTACGATACTGTCTACTGAGACCCTATGTGATGTTGTAATGCATCTGTACGTACGATACTGTCTACGGAGACCGTATGTGATGTTGTAATGCATCTGTACGTACGATACTGTCTACGGAGACCGTATGTGATGTTGTAATGCATCTGTACGTACGATACTGTCTACGGAGACCCTATGTGATGTTGTAATGCATCTGTACGTACGATACTGTCTACGGAGACCCTATGTGATGTTGTAATGCATCTGTACGTACGATACTGTCTACGGAGACCCTATGTGATGTTGTAATGCATCTGTACGTACGATACTGTCTACGGAGACCGTATGTGATGTTGTAATGCATCTGTACGTACGATACTGTCTACGGAGACCGTATGTGATGTTGTAATGCATCTGTACGCACGATACTGTCTACGGAGACCCTATGTGATGTTGTAATGCATCTGTACGTACGATACTGTCTACGGAGACCCTATGTGATGTTGTAATGCATCTGTACGTACGATACTGTCCACTGAGACTCTATGTGATGTTGTAATGCATCTGTACGTACGATACTGTCTACGGAGACCCTATGTGATGTTGTAATGCATCTGTACGTACGATACTGTCTACGGAGACCCTATGTGATGTTGTAATGCATCTGTACGTACGATACTGTCTACGGAGACCCTATGTGATGTTGTAATGCATCTGTACGTACGATACTGCCCACTGAGACTCTATGTGATGTTGTAATGCATCTGTACGTACGATACTGTCTACGGAAACCGTATGTGATGTTGTAATGCATCTGTACGTACGATACTGTCTACGGAGACCGTATGTGATGTTGTAATGCATCTGTACGTACGATACTGTCTACGGAGACCCTATATGATGTTGTAGTGCATCTGTACGTACGATACTGTTAAGCGAGACCAGCACCATCTGTAACGAGACTTGGGTCTTCAGCGCCGGACGCACTTGGGCGTCGTAGTCAGTCAGGAGAACCCTCCTCAGGTTTGTGGAGGTGTTGGTGAACTGTACGGAACACTCGCAGAGCAACCACGCTGGAAATATGAAAAACAATGGACGTGTTGTCCAATATTCTATAATTCAAAAAACGATTGAATATAAAGTATTTGGTTCAGTTAAGACTTTTCTTCCTGAATGTAGCAATTTCTTTCATTTAAGATTTTTAATTTGAGGTGACCCTAAATCTATTATAGGGAAGTGAGGGAATCAGGGAAGGGTCATGAAAAAATGGACATTTTATAATAAAATATAAAGTGCTTTTGTTTTTTGGACATTGGGCTGGTCATCCAAAATATGACAGACATTAGGGGAGGGTCATTATTTTCAGTACATTAGTGCATCAAAAACCTCTGACACATCCATCCTTTAAAAAATGACCGATCCCTTACTAGGATTGAAAACAACATCTTTGACCACGTTTCTTACATGCAAGTAACCATACTGATTATTATACGAAACACTGTTTATTGTGTTCATTTGAGTGATGAGTGATATTCATAGGATTTTACTTACGTTTCCATCTTTAATCAGTTTGCATTATTGAAACCCATATTTTCCGAATTATTATTCTGGCATTTTGACTGGGGGTCAACTAAGTCTGCAAAACGCCAACCATATATGACAAATCTGGTAAATCCTTTCTGCAACGATGCATTTCTCTGGGGATTGTTTGCAGTAAAAGTCTGATACTTATTTCACGTGTAGCTCGCTAGGCTTGCTTATTTCTAATTATCATTCAGGCTGGGTTTGATTACGTTGAATTCACATATTCCGCAATGGTGGTGCAGGATAATAAAGCTCTCTGATCAAGTATATGTTGCCAGGCAACATGCTTATAAATTTGATTTGAGAACATTTTGCCTTACTTATCATTATAACATCCATATGCCTAATGCGCAAGAGAAAAATATTTGTGGTTGTTTGTTCAGTTTTATCACCACGGCCTGTAAATAAGTCTGGATCTGTGGTTCACATTGTGATCAAGTCACCACGAGCAAGGATCGCGATCAATATCCTGGCCAATCAATCCAATTGGACATCTTACGACAAGACATGCAGTGCAGAAGGTGTGTTGTTTTCCGGCCTCCACGACAGTGATAATGATGCTTGCGGTCGTCTGGCCTCAGTAGAACCAGGGAGTGTAGACCTGTATAAGGAGTGGGCACTAATGGATTTACGACTGAAACAGCTGGTAAACAGCCAACTCATCATGCTTTAGTGAATTTGATTGCCATCATGCCGTTCGTAATCACCCGAGTCGTTCCGAGACAAGCCGAACGTCGGCCCAACGGGCAACGGTAAACTTAGGTAAGGTTAAATGAGGTTTAGCGTCGCGTTTGAGAGAAAGAGAGAGAGAGAGAGAGGAGTGAGAGAGTCACAGAGAGAGAGAGTCAGAGAGAGAGTGAGTGAGTGAGTGAGAGAGTGTGAGAGAGAGAGAGGAGTGAGAGAGTGTGAGAGAGTCAAAGAGAGAGAGAGATGGTTTACCGTTGATACCCCAGTCAGACACACTATACTGACTCGACCATCTTTAACGTCTTTTGGTAGGATGCGACCGGGGATCGAAGCATCCACCTATCGCTCTCCGTCTAGACAATCTAGACCATGGAAGCGGCCGGTAACGGCGAGGAGTAATAGGTGAGCATTGTGATTGCACAACTCATGGTACTCCGACAAACCTTCCGGGTTTTGATGACTATGCAACATAACTGATTGCTATGGAGATCCTTTGTCACCAGGGTCTTTGGAGCAATCTATGTATACCTCAAGCGATCTGTTCCTGAATACAACCGCTTAACATGTGGACTCCAATAGCAAAGATAAGGCTTTTGAAAAGAAGAAGCTCCACATCATACAATTATGGTACATGGGGCATATGTGATGTTCCAAACGGATAAATCTACACTTGCAAGATATTTTGTTACCGCGATGGTTACATAATGTCTTGGTTAAATAATGTCTTGGTTACATAATGTCTTGGTTACATAATGTCTTGGTTAAATAATGTCTTGATGTTCGAGTGTTAACTGAATAACGACGGTTCACCTGAAAATGATTTTCAGCAATATTTGATACAATATTCCTTCTCTCTTGAGTGTTTCAATGAATCACCAGCTTACCTTGCATGATTAGCAGCATGTGAATCACCATGTTGACGCATGTCCTGTTGGCCATTCCTGGATTCTCTCTGACGTTACGGAAGTCTGTATGTGCCTTCAGTGATCGCGAGGTCGCTGGCTTAGGTTGTCACCGCGCCCATCGAGTTCTGCTTGACCGCAGGATCATAGTAGGTCTTTGTGTATAGGTTTGGGTCAGTTTGTCCCACTGTTTAAGACAGAAGTTCGACGATGCGTACGCCAAAATAAAAGCGGACCGACGGATAAAGGGGTTAACTTCAAGAATGTCTTTATCCTTTTCTTTGTATTGATCAGAGCGGAGTAATGGACCTACTGACTGTAAGTAGGCTTTGGTGAGAGGTACAGGTAAACACAGTGTTTACCTATTCTTTAAGAGCGGGCAAAGAAACATTCTAAATAACGCCGGTTGTTTTCATACATTGATGGTGGCTTAAATAAAACATTTATGTCGGTGTTGATCCTTGGCCTTTCTGTATCAGAACGTGTTTCGTGCAAATATGATTCACCAGTAGTGGTTTGACGTGAAGTTATGAAAGAAACTTCACCGGTTAATTGAACTAACCACGTAAACTCGATGGTCATCTGGTCTATGAAATGCGTCAGTTTGGACATTCCTCCAATATAAAGCTGACTCGCGTTCACATGGAAATAATTGTTTACGCCCAATTCATTCAACTAATTAACCTACCGCCGCCTGCCATTCAAGTCACGTTTGATCACAGAAAGTTCGATGTGATTTCAGCATACTTCAAAACTGTCGGAGTTACAAAAAACATATATTATGATCTAGGTCAGATTCTAAAATTCCAAACAGTAAGAAAACTTGTGAAATTGAAAAAAGCGAAAATTGCCTGAATATTTTCTTTTATATATATCTAGAACTACTGGTGGCAATTATGGTTGTGTGAGTGCGGATGCTCCCGGTAATAGGACATGCTTTCCCTTTTCGCGAACACCATCAATGATTTTCAGCAATTCGTCCATATAAGTAATAAGTGTGCCTCGGGTTTAACGCACATAATCCTGATCGTTGGACATGCTGGGTGTCGCGTATTTCTTTTGTTGAGATATGAACAATTTAATTGTTTGGCTCCTATTGACCCCTTAAATATTCTAGATCGGTACCGAAGAGGTAATGCCACGATGTCTAGGTTGGTTTTTACTACTCTGTCCTCCTACCTTGGGGCACGGGCGGCCCGGTCGTCTAAGGCACTGCTATCACTCTGCAGAATTGCGTTCTCTTGCGTTCTCTTGGTTGAGGGTTCGAATCCCAGTTCGGCCCTATCATGTTTCTAGTTTTGTCTGCACTATACCCATGCTTGTGGGTTTCACCCTAGTGGTAAACGCCTGAGACCTGCATAATTTCAGAGTTTCCTCCCATATTTAGCTGATATTGTGAGTGAGTGAGTATTTTCTTACGCCGCTTTTAACAATATTCCAGCAATATCACGTCGGGGGACTTTTACAAGTGGGCAATATAAAATCATCATCTGCGATTCTTCCGCTCGTAACATTAACAAGAAAGAAAGAAAAGGGAACTGCTTTATCATAAAGCTGGAATATTGGGTCAACAATCAATAAACAAAAATCATATAAACAATCATGAATATGTTATTTGATCATATTTTTATGCTAATTATATCATTATATTATTATTTATAGTCGTTCTTTGAGGAATAAACTTGTGAATTAAACATGTATGTATCTACTGGTCAATTTCAGGTACAAACTATACCTGTAGATATCTTAACGTCCCAATGAACTCGGGCTTATCACGCTTCACAAGTGAGCAGCTGGAAGGGTTGCCCGCTTCAGAGACTCCTCGTTCGAAATTCAATCATATTACTCACATGGAACCTAAACAACGAGGTGGCCATGCTGTCCACTTGAAACGAATGTTTACGTTCCGGGAGATTGTGTAAATGAAAGTGTATTCTGTACTACTTTTACAAACGAAATTAGAAGTGTTTGTTTGTTTGTTTGTTGTTTAAAGTATATTCCAGCTATATGACGCCGGTCTGTAAATAATCGAGTCTGACCAGACAATCCAGTGATTGACGTCATGAGCATCGATTCACGCGATTGGGATACGATGACATGCATCAATCAAGTCAGCGAGCCTGACCACCCGACCCGGTGCGGTGTGCGTACTTATTATTTGGCTTCATACAACAATCATCGACTAGAAATTCGTCCTTGGTAAGCCAATGATTGGATATGGCGTGAACAGTATTGATAATATTGTGCTGGTTTTTTTATTGTCTAGATGAACGTCGTATTTTGTAGCTGGGGAGGGGTGTGTGTGTTGTGGCGTCAGGGTGATGGAGGTGGTCCAGAGAATCCAGCGTCTGTAACAAAGAAGTCAAACAGATAAACCACAGTTGTCATGCCGTTTCAGTAAGTAAAAACTCACTCACCCACCCACCCACCCACCCACCCACGCACTGTCCCACTCACCCACCCACTCACTCATCCACCCACCCACTCACTGTCCCACTCACTTACTTACTCTCCCACTCACCAACCCAATCACTGACACTATTAAATGTATTGTTGCTTTGTGAATAAATGTTGTTAGCCGTGTCCAAGGCACTGCTTGTATGGCTATTACTACTGTAAAACATAACGCTTACCACCGTCCATGAGTGTACAAACTCCTTTTCGCTTACCACGTTATTTTCTGAAACATACACTATAATACAGCAAAACTCGCAATGATGAAGGCAGTCCATGCCTCAAAGTTCAGCTATGTGTCAGATGCGTCGATATACGTAGAAGTGAAATGTATTTTTGTTTAACGATGTATTCGCAAATAATGTAAATGTTATAGTCTCGACCAGACAAACCAGTGATTGATATTATGGTGATATGCATTTTACCGAGTCAGTGAGCCCGACCATCTCGCCAAGTAGTCGCCTGGTTGTAAGTATGGTAAACTTGGTAACAAGGTGCGAATCTAATTGGATTAAACGACCATGAACAATGCAGATTTTTCTATGTTATTAGTATAAACGTATAACGTCAAAGACAGAGAATAACTGGTCTCGATTATCCACCGAATCAGATCCCGTTGGTGGTAAAAGGCCATACAGCGGAGTAACCAGGTGTTCGCGATGAAGGTAGTCATCAATCTGTCCTGCAGTGCCCTACCTGTAGTACCCGCCCCTCGCACAACCTGCATAAAAGGTAAGTGTTGTCCAGTTAAATAACACTGTTGTGTCATGATTGATAGAATCGGTTACATCGTCGGTATTCGACTAGACGGCTCGTGAAGACAAGGCGGCTATTTGAATGAAGAATTATACCGAATTCGTATTAAGAGAAGAAGAATTTGTATTGGTTGTTGATTTCAAGCTCATGGGCGAAAGAAATTCTGTGCTGTGATGGTGATAGGAGAGGTTGAGCTCGCGACGTGGTCGTTTCGGAAACGAAGCTCAGGTAGTGAATAGGTCCAGGTTATATATTATAACAACACAGAGATGTGAGACACTGGGCCACAGGATGACACACTGTATGGTGTATATTTTGAGCTCTCTAAAGGCGGTAATCATAATTTAATCATATACCATATTACGATGGCATGATTCCATGCTTTCTGGATGCATTACCCACGAATACGTTGTGGTTGGGTACGGGCACATTCAACCGGGAAAGGTTCTTTACAGATATTATTGTGTATGACTGGTGTAAAATATAAAAAATTAATGCAAGAGAATAACTGGTCTTGATTATCCGCTTAAACAGATTCCATTAGGCGTAAAGGGCAAACTAGCTGTGGAAATGCTATGAATGGACCACTGAAAATCAGTGAAGACATCAACTGTTCGCGAAAAGGGTAAGCATGTCCTGCCCTATCGTTAGCACCCACCATTCGCACTATTTGCATACAAAAGTAAGTGTTTATTGGCTTACATCGCACGGCAGTACGCTTGTCAAGCGACAATGGAATATACCCGTTCTCTGAAGGCGAATTTGGTATAAATCTACATTTAAAATGGCCGCCTCATCTTCGCGAGCTGTCGATGTGTTAGAAATGTTTCTGATCACTCCTCATGTGATCCATGATTTCTTTCCAGACATGATATGATCAATTCAAAAGGAAGTAAGTGCCGTTTGTATCCCACAACTAAAGTTTGTCATAATCATACTGGGTTAGAACTCCGGTCTTGTCGCTGTCAAAGATGTCCTAGAGCGCATGCGTGGAATCTGGTGAGTAGTGTACGTGGTGTACTCCTCACGGGAGACAACCCGTCAACTGAAAATGCGAATGTTGGTAAATGAAGAATTTGTGAAACTATCTTCGAATAGAAACAACATGTCCTGTGTCTCTTCTAGTTCAAAATGAAAATGAATGTTCTCTTTTTCTTACGTTTAAGCACGTTCTAACACGGCCCAGTTTAAAAAACAAATCTGTGAAATGTTACTGGTCATCTCCCAATGTGGTCATACGCCATAAGGACTTGGTGTTGTATACTTGCAGTTGGAGTCATAGCCTTGGAACAATAGTTGGAGTCTGCAGGGGAGAATTCTTAGTCCCGATCAAGGTCGTTGTTATCGAAAAGGTTTTGAGCCGTCAGTCAGTCACGTTTGTTGTGAAACACGTAGTCTTTGAAATGGATGCATTGATGTGATTATTCCAAAACTTGTGCCCACAATAAATGTTTCAAGATTGTTCGTATCCATTGTACATCAGAAGTAGTCTAGTTTGTTTCGTTTGTTGTTAACGCCGCAGTCAGCAATATTCCAGCTTTATCAGTACGGCCTGTAAATCACCGAGTCTTGGGTTGACACGTGGTCGGGATACCATGACACACAATCAGCCAAGTCACCCAACCTGACCACCCGATCCAATATTAGGTTATTGGGAACTAATTCCATCCTGATATTCCCTATCGAGTGATGCATGTAAAAGCGAGAATTTTGATGAATCTTACCCAATTAACCTATCCAATTACAGATTTAAATTTTCTACCGAAAATGTTATTCTTTGACTCCGAGAAGCACACACGCCGTCGCAAGACAGTTCATGGTGATGTAGAATGAAAGGAAACACGCGAATACGACATGGGATAATCCATTGTTAAAAGTGTAACAAATATGAAAATGTCCCTTGAATGAAATTAAGATTTGTATTTGTACTAGACATGATCCTTCATCAGAGAAATATTGTTTTAAATTAACAACTTAAAAGCGTGTTAATCTGAAGAGTCATGTGTAATTCCAAGTCTTACCCAGCTTGTCTGATATCAGAGGCAGTCTGAAATTCCACATTGTCGCCAAAACTATATATCTTGACCTAGATGGAACCCCCTTTAGATTAGGTTTAAAACCGTGATAATTTAAATTTCTATTTATACTTACAGGATGTTCAGATGCATGACGTTAGCATGAGTAAACGATGGGCTATCAATAAATCACTAGACTTGATAATGTTAATGCTGTCATTGGTGATAAGTCATGCTACCATGCTGTCTGTATGTATTCTCCACGGACACCTTGTGTTTGATTATATTCAACCGGAAATAATTCTTTGCAGGTACCAGGTATCCTGCGGTCACTTCTTAATAAGTTAATCTCCAAATCTCCACGGTTGGTCATATATACCCGGTTGAAACTTTTATCAAGCTCTTGTTTGCAGAAAACGTGCTGTAGATACGTTTAAATTTGTTTCTGTTGAAATACATCGTGTATACTGTGCAGTGCATACAATCGAAGAAGCAAGCAACAGTCATGCATTCGTAGTGTCATTCTGAAGGGGGTGGGAACGTCTTGTGTGTTTCTTCTGTGCATTGCGATCACATCTCCGTGTGACTGTAGTGCATCGCCATGAGTCAGAGCTACAGAGCTACAGAGCTGAGACTTAATGTTTCAAAGTTGTATTGAACTGGGCATGTGTTTCACTTATTGCTGACGAAATGTCATTAAACAGCAAGTGCTTAAAACTTGTGTGGGTATCTGGAGGAAAAGGATTAAGTTGTACTTTATTTAGAAAAAAACAAATATTAGGGGCCAAAGATATACCATACCATATTGGTGAGTTCACCTGTCAAAGTCTCGTGGGAGGTTTTGCGGTATAAAGGAAAGTGAGTGAGTGAGTTAAAATTTAACGTCGCTTGGGCATTATTTCAACCATAGAGCGACGAAAGGTGCAGGTTATGAATTTGCATGTCAAGCAAACGCCGTTCCAGTTATGTCTGTACATCTTGACTTGTTTCAAACGTCCCACAATGCCATGAACATTGCCCTTCATAAGTGCACTGGTCATACACGCCACAATACCTTATATGCAAACATTCAAGAACAAACTTTACTAGGCTTCAGCATTGACTGTTGTTATGATGAACACGACGAAAAGTCGAAATTGTTTCTACTGTGCTTTGCTTATCTTATAAATATTGAAGCAAAATTACACATTAATTCAAATACGTAAATGATTCCGTTATCATTTTCAATCTATATATCACTGTGAAAATATGATACATGCGCGTCAACAGAAATACGAAATTGGGTTGTCAAACAAGCCTACCATTCATGAAGCAGTCATTTCATTATATATGGTGAATTGCGTCGAACATACTAAGTGAATTCCTAGTAAGTATTAAGTAAAACTTTGAAAGTATGTATTCTTATCGTGTTAATTTTTCATTGACGAACACGCCTTGAACTTTACTTCGCTTGCCCAGATGTCTGCTCTCGCACAGTGTGAGAGATATTCCACATGTATTTCTACAGGCAAGTCTCTCAACGTGTCCAAATGATAAGGCGTTAACATGCCTAGTCTCTCAACGTGTCCCAACGATAAGGCGTTAACATGCCTAGTCTCTCAACGTGTCCAAATGATAAGGCGTTAAAATGCCTAGTCTCTCAACGTGTCCCAATGATAAGGCGTTAACATGCCTAGTCTCTCAACGTGTCCAAATGATAAGGCGTTAAAATGCCTAGTCTCTCAACGTGTCCCAATGATAAGGCGTTAACATGCCTAGTCTCTCAACGTGTCCAAATGATAAGGCGTTAACATGCCTAGTCTCTCAACGTGTCCAAATGATAAGGCGTTAACATGCCTGGTCTTATCTTGCAGGCGAGGATAGGAACACTACTGCTTGTTCATGAGTTACATGTATGTACCCTTTCTCCATGTATATCGTATTTTCTGCTTTATTCTGCTATGTATGTTCTACTTAATTATTTGGATGACTTGGATAAACAGTATGATCAATTATTTTCGAACATTCTCTAGCGACATATCGATGTGAATATCCAAATGTTACTCTTACTTTCATACGAAATCTATATAAACCCTTTTAGTTTGTTCTAAGGTTTTCATTGGCAAAATCCTAAGGTTTGTATGTAAGTTTGATCTCACTCTAGATCCCGGGTCATCTCTTATTTTCATGTTTTCAGCCTACTTGCTTCCCCTTCTTCCTGAAGACAGAATGCTTCCAGTCGCCCATGACGGATAGGCAAGCCACGAATAGGTGAATTGATGATTCAAAAGTTAGGGGTTAAAATTTCATCTCCTTTCCACGGCCAAACCGATATAATACGAATAATTTGTGCGGCCTTAACGCGGGCATGGCATTCCGAGAAGACAGCCAGTCCAGGATTGAGGTATAGTTTTGGTAGCCTTTTCAACGCCGACAGACGTATTTTGTAACACGCTTCATTTTGTTGTTTCAAAATTGGCCATCGATCCCAAGTGCGTGGATCGATGCTCATGATATCAATCACTGGCTTGTCTTGTCCAGACTCGATTATTTACAGACCGCTGTCCTATAGCTGGAATATTGTTAAGTGCGGCGTTAAACAACAAACCAACCAATGATTTGATCCAGGTCAGACTGATCTCTCGAAAGAAAACCTATGCTACACCCGGATCTGCACGAGTTCGTTCTTATTTACGTGTTTGTCGTTTGTTGTTGTTGTTTTCGCCATGTACTAAGCAGAAGCATATCTACAAAACACGGATATCCTTGTTTAAACACCCGTAGGCGTTTGGCCCTCTAATTAATTTCAAGTTTTGGCAATGTCAAAAACAGGACTAAATCTAAACGTACTCTTGTTCTTATACGGATTCCTGTTAGGCTTAGGTCGTGGAAGGTAACTGTTTTGTCGCATACAGGTTAGCGCTACAACTTCAGGAAGGAGTGGGTCGAAAGGTCATTATCAGCATGTTTTTACATATGTTAGGTTATGTGTTATGACTGGTATACAGTATTGAAACCACACTTGTGAGTCAGTTCCTTTAAATGTGTGGTGTGTTTAACGGAATAACGAGACATATTTTGAACGGAATACAACGAGCTTAAGAATCCCCAATGTTTATTGAATGGCGTCAGTATTGTTTGGTTGGTTAGTTGTTCTACTGTTCCAGCTATGTGACAGCCACGTGGAAATAATCGAGTTTAAATTTACACTCCCAGTTACAGCCATCCTCTATGGAAAAATGCATAGTTACACAGTGTTTCCAAATATACCTGGAATAGTTCATACCTGTTTGACGTTTAAATGTGATTCCTGTCTTAACAGCTAATCGAACGATTATCCGGGTGAAGCGAAAGGCAGTGTTTGCCAGCCAGCTCTAAGATTTCTATCTTTTCAAACACAATATCCGGTAGATTTACAGACGGTAATTCACATGAATGACTGAAGCACATCTACAGAAATATCTTAGGGACATAATTCAACGAAACAGAACTGCGGATTCGTCTGCCAGTCCTTAGACCACCTGGTTCCAATTTCAAATGTATTGGAATACTATCGAACGAATCTCCATACACAACAACACAGAATAATGAACGTATCATGTTCAATCGTTAGATAAACGTCGCATAACTTTATCATGCAGGAGTCACTTAAACCCTTGTTTACAAATTGGATTGTAGTCTAATGGATGGTGGAGATGGTCCAGGGATTCAAGTGTCTGGAAAATAAAAAATAATATTCAATTAAACAAATTTCATCAAATTTTCAAGACGTTGTTTTGCAGATCATATCGTACTTCTTATTCTCCCGTGATTTCGGGTTATATTGGCCCCTGTATCTTAACTGACTACAATGGGGATCGGCTTGTCCGGCTTGGCGACTCCGATGGGGCAGATGTAGTTAATGATTTTACAAGCGGTCAAGTTAAAGTTAGAATATAACTGAATGCGGCGTTAAACACCATTCACTCACTCATCCTGTCGCATCTTATTTGCTTTAATAAGACATGTAACAAAGTAAGCGAATATTGTTTAACGGAAATTTAACGGCTTTAACAAAATCTAACTGACACAAGACATAGCGTTTGACGGCATGGCCAACGGTACCTGGCTGTAGAGACACCTGGATATTTTATTTACAAGGTCACGCGTTGTGCCCAAACTATGATCACTTGTTCTTGTCTCACATGAATAGAATTCCATGCTCGTATTCTACCTAGGTATGTTGTGGTTTCGTAACTGTTGTTACAGTGGTTGATTATTTCATGAAAATTCAACAATTCTTACCACTGTCCACCAATGCACGTATTCCTTCTGACTCACACGCCCATTTTCTGAATCAAAATACATTCGTTTTGTATGCTACATGTACAGTCAGAGCGTTACCAAATTTCATCTTAATACAGGGAATGTTTCAAGATGACACATATATACTGTACCAAATCAAACTACAATATGCTTGAGTATCAAAGTTCGGCTGTATACAATTCCATATTTCGTCAATGGTAAATTGTGTATTAGCAAGTGAGTTGTCTTAAACAAAGATTTGAATAGTTATCCAGCTATCTACCACAGCGTGCGAGCTTGATGTTGTTGGAAAGCAAACTGCAGGTGCAGGTAAAATCCACAATGACAGACCAAGGATAATATAGTAACTGAGCATTTGGGATTCGATACCACGGTCACAGGATCCTGGCACAATAAGGGGCGATTAGGCCACTTGTGCCATCAGTCGAACAACAATAACAGGTTCATGATATTCCCCTTAACACATATATTTCTATTTCATAACAAAAGCATCGACATTCAGATTTTAAAACTAAATTTATAAACAGGTGTAGACGATGACATTTAATTTACCTTGAGAACTAAATACAGCAATGTTAAGCAATGCCTTAATTCAAGTTTCCTCGTTAGATTTCCGTTTACCTCGTTTTAATCTCGTTTCGTAGTCAAGAACAAAGTGCAATGGCTATATTATTGGAGCGATTTGATAGTTACCGTTGTTATCCATCAGTTTGAACAAGGCATTGAAATCAAAGAGAGTAAGTACATCATCCTTGTCGGCATCAAAGTTATCGTACAGGGCATGCGTTAAGTCGAACATTTCCGGGTTCAGGTGAGCCGTGAATGTGGTATACTCAGTTCTGGTCACAACACCATCTCCTGAAAACATCACATAAAAGTCAGTCAGTGTAACGCTGCTTCCGTAAAAGGCGGCTATGCTTGTCGTGGTTTGAAGCATGTTATCGATATCAATTGTGTGCATCGATGCTCATGATATCAATCAGTGGATTGTCTTGACCAGAGTCGATTATTTACAGACCGCCGTCATGTAGCTGGAATAATGCTGACAAACCAACATAACCAACAAACATAATTTGGGAAATACCACAATGAAGCTCACCTGTTTTACTGTAACCATTAGATCATAAATGCCAACCATACGTGAGGAAAGAGGAACACACTAATACATATGACAGACATTATGAGACAACAAAAACATCATGTATATTTCATAATGTTTCATGCAACAATGCCCCGATTAATAGGCAAAATAACAGGATTCAAAGTCGGATCTAAATTATGTGAGCAAGGCCTTGACACGCTATGCGAAGGATGTGGAAAATGTAACTTCATAATATATGTAATCATAATCATAGTTTCAAATGAAATGTCGAAATGCAGTCAGTCTAGTTTTTAAGGTCAAAGGCCATAACATTGTCGTGGCGGTCACGTTTAAAATCGATGCAGTTGTGTAACGCCAAAATTAATATGGTATTCCAGCTACAGGACCTCGACTTCTATTGAAACGCGGTTGGGTTGGGCAAAGCATTGACTGAACGCATCTTCATCGACCCACACTTTAAGCCACATATGGAAAACTGACCATCAATCCCCATTTCAGAATTTCTTACAAGCATGAGGTACATTCTGACCCGGGCTTCTTAAAGGAACATGTACTTACCATCAGCATCGTACGCATTGTAAGAATACCGCAGTTCATCGATAGTGAAGGTCTGGTCATGATCAAGATCAGCGGACACAAACATCGCCTTGGCGGTTTCATTGTAGGGCCGGAGGTCTATTGTCGTCCTTCAAGAGACGTTGAGAGAGTACAGAATACAAGAACTTGATTAATTGTCTGTGAAAATCATAGTATAACTGACTCTTGAATAGCAGTAATGTTAACTGTTATTCTGGAAAAAGACACTCGGAATGTGTAGTAAGTCTGAGCAATGGAACGATGAATAGTTCATAGAAATATGCATGTGTACTCACTGACAGGCTCCGTAGGAGACGCAAAGGGCCAACACAACACCAACCAACGTGTACATATTCTCAAGACGCTCGATGATATCTTTCGCCGCGCCTATGTCACGCAGATGAACTAAAAACGAAACCGAAGATATCCCTATGTAAAGTAAGTTACATTCATAGATAAGGTCGTATACCCTGGGCCAACTTTGCCCGTCCAAGCAGAAGGAAGGCTGCGTGGATTCTTGAGCCAATCAAGTGTCGGCTTTCTAAGACGATTCGGCTTCATTCATACGTGCAAATGAAATCCCACACAAATATTCCTTCGATGACACTCCATTTTGGGTGTAGATGGCACGGCGCTTAGACATAAAAGCGACAAAACCATTTTCATATTCTTAGGAAATATCTGCCAAACGGAGACAATTGATTCCGACTATAACATGAGCATATGTTTTTTTAATCATTATCACATAACAATGATTCCAGATGGTTGGTTGGTTGTTTAACGCCGCACTCGGCAATATTCGAGCTATATGACGGCGGTCTGTATAAATAATCGAGTCTGGACCAGTCTATCCTGTGATTGATATCATGAGCATCGATCTACGTAATTGGGATACGATGACATGCATCGCCTAAGTCAGCGAGCCTGACCACATGATCCCGTTACGAGGTTCGTCCTCACCTGTTTTAAGCAGAAATTCGTGGGAAAACATTATAAGGTTTAAAAAATGTCTCGAATTATAGGGTGATTCGAGGTTTTGTTTGTTTTGTTTGTTTGTAATCAACAATATTCCAGCAAAATGACTGCAGTCTGTAAATAGTTGAGTCTTGACCACTTAAATCAAGGGTTTAACATCACTTGGGAGTCGATGCCATGCATCAACGAAGTCAACCAAGTCATAAAGCTGGAATATCGCTGTGTTAGTGCGGTGTTAAACAACAAACCAAGCAAACCAAAGATGTCAATTCATACAGGTGCGTAAATATACGTTTATCAATAAAAGCCGAGACGGAGTTTAATATCAATCAACTAGCTATATGGTGACCCGATGTCTTAATCTTCTGCAGACAAGACCTACAAGCCAACGTCAGAGGATTGCCACGTTTTGTTTCTACTTTTAAGACTTCGCTTTGTTGAGTTCAAAACCTTGGTGTGAAGATGTCGCTGTTTCCATGGTAACCACACACATGAATAATGCTAATTTTATAATTAATATTGTATTTATCCGACATGTGGTTTCAAAACAGATTGTTTATGCTACATTATAGTAAAATAATAGCTAATTGATCTCAACAAGTTATATGAAAGTATTTTCATTGTGTTGATAGTTCTACATCGACATGAACATATTACATCATCGTATGTGTCGTAATAATGCACTCTGTATCATATTGACTTAGGGTTCACCTAACATGAGTCAAGTTTGCACGATTTTACTGCTGCATCTATTAGTTAGCAGAAAAAAGTAACTGCGCTTCATATAAAATGATGTATATGTGATGTTAATGAAACATAATAATTTGGTCATAAGTCTGATCAATGTTTTATCATAAGAAATTCATTACCTTGGGACTTGAGACCGAGCCACACGCCCTAAAAGATGGTGCATTGAAGACACCAGCTTTATTTTACACCATATATTCCTTTTCATGGTTCGTTTTCATTATAATTAGTAATATTGTAAACCATACATATATAGACCTTGAAGAAACCAAGTGTTATGTTTTGTTTTTAAATGATATTAAAGCATGATTTATATACCTACCTGTTCATGCAGCGATTAAAATAGATATAATCAACTTCTACAAGGTCAAAGTGCTGACCTGTCATAATATCAGTCCTGCGTAGGTGCGCCGTAAGAAATGCTGATAAGATGCGTCCCGTAGCTATAGGATATAATAAACAGATACAATTCCGTTTCGAATATGATCGAGTCTGAACTATCATACAGCTATATGACGGCGGTCTGTAAATAATAATAAATAATCAATCTCTTGTATACAAAGTAAATATGGGTATCATTGAAAAATATTCTTATTTGAATTTCTGATTGAAACAATGAAATTGTATGCCTTTTTAACCACCTATACTAGGATCCTGCTATTTATATAAATACCAGTTGCGAAATACCATCTCTCCTATCGCTCCCCACACTGAACAAAATAGTGTTTCTTATTAAAATGCACTTCCCAATTGTACGGTTATGCAGTAATAGTATGAAACAGAAACAAAAAAAACCTACCTTCAATATGTCTTTATTGCATGAGGTTTTGCGTGATACTCGGACATTTCCCTCTTGTCCAAGAAACCGTGACGTGATGATGTCACATCTTATCGGCACAAATTCATATTGTTTGTTTGTTATTTAACGCCGTACTCAGCAATGTTCCAGCTATATGACTGCGGTCTGTAAATAATCGAGTCTAGATCAGACAATCCAGTGATTGACATCATCAGCATCGATCCACGCAATTGGGATACGATATCGATCGATGACATGCATTAACCAAGCCTGACCCCCCCGATCCCGTTAGTCGCCTCTTACGACAAACATAGTCGCCTTTTACGCCAAGAATGGGTTTGTGAAGACCTATTCCTCCCCACCAATTCAAATTGAACCGTATGACCATATAATTGGCGATTTCATTGATCTCTTCTTTGAATTAGGAGATGTGTCATAACACACTGCTGTGTTAATACATACATGCTGCTGTGACCTTATACTAGGCTAGGAGTGTCTCATTCGTCTGTGTCCCCACAATACGCCAAGCAGAGTTGCGTCCCTTAGGTGCGCCCAAAACCGATGATCATAGGTTCGAATCCCATATTTTGCCTGATAATGATCTTTTAGTTTGTCAGAACCATACTCGTGCTCGTTTTACCAAAGATATAAACATCTGACACATGCCTAACTTCATGCAGCCGAGTGATAACTGAAATACGTTTCACAAAGGCGTTAAACTCTCACTAAATACATGGGAACTGGAAATTTTAATGGACACGTTCATCGTGATGTTTTGTGAGATGGTAACATCTTGATATGTCCACCGCCGTGATACCGCTGGAATGTGACTAAAGGTGCCGTGAAACATACTCACTCATTAGAACAAATTTGAATTCGATAAGTTTAAGGGGCAAATGTGCAAGTTTGTCTTCCAAAACAGGGATTCACGGGATGTATGGCTTGGACGAGATCAAGCAATATCACCTGTAGGAGAATTGCGTCACAATGTTTGTTTGTTTGTACCATCAGCACTGACAATACTCGACTCTGGACCAGACAGTCCTGTAACTGCCACCATGAGAATCGATAGACTCCATTGGGATTCGATGACATGCATCAACCACGTCTGGTAACACATTGTGACCGCCAGATCCTCATTGGTCGGCTCTTATAACATTGATTACCGTTTAAAAAGACCCCGTATACTTTCACTCTAAGTTCGTGGTGATGTTGAAAAAATTTACCATTTTTTTGTCCAGTCAGTACATATACACTCTTCAAAAAAGAAACGCACAGGTTGTATGTAGTTCATTGAACATGACTACACAAAAAATCCGGTATATAAACTGGATATGTGTTATTGGAAAATGTTGAAGGCCTGATTTTCGACAAACGGTGCGACAAAACGCAGCCATTATCGATTTGCAATGTCTAAAACGGCATTATTTTCACACGTGTTCAAAAATGTCATGGAGGAAAACAGTGAAGCAAAATGCACGTGCAAGTTATGACATTTGTAACTCATGGTAGTGACCATAAAAAGGCAAGCATAAGCCAATTATTTGTCATTCAATCGTCAACATTTTTCAAGCTCGAAAATGCCGAGACTCAGCACTGCCGATCGGACGTATCGCCTTAGGACGTATCCAAAGAGGGGAATCACAGTCTTCTGTTGCACGCCACTTCAACGTCCACCTCATCACCATTTGCCGCCTCTGTGACCGATACACACAGTTCAATTCCACTGCAGACCGTCCGAGAACCGACCGACCAAGAGTAACCAACCTGCACAGGATCGCTAAATTCGACTGTTCCACCTAGGTCATCGCAATGCCACAGCTGCGGAGACTGCAGGACGCATCCCCGGTTTGAGGAGGATATCGGACCAGACTGTCAAGAACCATCTTCGCGAGGCTGGAATTCGATCCAGAAGACCAGTTTTCGTCCATGCCGTGAAGATCCGGGGTAGAATAGGTCTTCAGCAACCCACGCTTGCGGTAAAAGGCGACTATGTTTGTCGTAAAATGCGACTGACGGGATCGGGTGGTCAGGCTCGCTGACTTGGTTCATGCATTTCATCGATCCCAATTGCGTGGATAGATGCTCATGATGTCAATCACTGGATTGTCTGTTCCAGACTCGATTATTTACAGACCGCCGTCATATAGCTGGAATATTGCTGAGTGCGGCGTTAAACAATAAAACCAAACCAACCCTGGTTTGAGGAGGATATTGGACCAGACTGTCAGGAACCATCTTCGCGAGGCTGGAATTCGATCCAGAAGACCAGTTATCGTCCGTGCCGTGAAGATCCGGGGTAGAATAGGTCTTCAGCAACCTATGCTTGCCGTAAAAGGCGACTATGCTTCGACAATTTCGTTGGCGGTAGTGTCATGATGTGTGGGGCCATACATATCCTACACCACGAGATCTAACTTGGTTGTGGTTCAGGGAAATTCGACAGCAAATCGCTGCATGAAATAAAATTCTTCAACCTCACCTTCTTCCAATCATTGACCGCCAGAGGGAGCTGTTTCAACAGGACAACGCTCCACCGCACACATTTCGTGTCATGTTAGACGACCTTCATAATGTCAACATCAACGGCTTGCCCTGGCCGTCGAGATCTCAAGATCTCAATCCAATCGAACACCTCTGGGATGAACTCGATCGACGTAAACGTCAACGCCAGAACACGCTACAGACACTCCCACAACTTGCCAACGCGTTACAAGCAGAATGGTGCAGAATTCCGCAGGACAAAATTCGTACACTCATCCAGTCAGTGCCGAGGACATGCAGAGCCGTTATTGCTGCCCAGGGCGGTCACACGTTCAGCGTAACCTTATGGCCTTATGTGACATGACAATAAACAGTTTTCAATGCCTTTGGACAACGACAACATGTGACATTTTATCTATGATTTTGAATTAAATATATCGAATTTATTAGGTAC